CTTAGTGCCTATTAGACGTAGTTGGGATGGAACTAGACTTGTGGGGACATACAGCATGTAATTAGCACACGTAGGTTGGGAATTAGAGTCAAACACGTCTTAAACCGAGTCAAAAAAAGGCGTTTAGGGGGCAAAAATGCAAAACAGCCCCCGAACCATGCTATCGTTGTCATGGGCAGCTTCCTTGTGAAAAATAAAACCTGTTGGAGCAGACGAAATGTAGTTAGCACACATAGGTTGAGAGTTAGAGTTGAAAATGCCTTAAACTTTGGTGAAAAAGAGCATTCGGGGGGGCAAAAATGCAAAACAACCCTTGTACCACTCTATGGATGTCACAGGCAGCTTCCTTGTGACAAATAGGACCTGTTGGGACAGACAGGCTGTAATTAGCACACGTAGATTGAGGGTTAGAATCGAAAATGCCTTAAACTTTGGCGAAAACGGGCGTTCGGAGGGTGAAAATGCAAAACAACCCTTGTACCACTCTATGGATGTCACAGGCAACTTCCTCATGACAAATAAGACCTTTTGGGACAGACGGGATGTAATTAGCATATGTAGATTGGGAGTTAGAGTTGAAAATGCCTTAAATTTAATTGAAAAAGGCAGTTCGGGAGGCAAAAATGCAAAATAGCCCCCGAACCATTCTATGGATGTCACGGACAGCTTCCTCATGACAAATAGGACCTGTGGGGACAGACTGACATTGGGAGATAGAGTCGAAAATGCCTTAAACTAAGTTGAAAAAAGGCATTCGGGGGGCAAAAATGCAAAACAGCCCCCGAATCACTCTATGGATGTCACAGGCAGCTTCCTCGTGACAAATAGGACCTATGGGGACAGACGGGATGTAATTAGCACATGTACATTGGGAGTTAGAGTCGAAAACGCCTTAAACTTAGTCGAAAAAGGCCGTTCGGGGGGTGAAAATGCAAAACAGCCCCTGAACCACTCTATGGATGCCACGGGCAGCTTTCTCATGACAAATAGGACCTATGGGGACAGACAAGATGTAATTATCACACGTACGTTGGGAGTTGGAGTTGAAAATGCCTTAAACTAAGTTGAAAAAAGGCATTCGGGTGGCGAAAATGCAAAACAACCACCGAACCACTCTATGGATGTCAGGGGCAGCTTCCTCATGACAAATAGGATCTGTCGGGACAGACGGCATGTAATTAGCACAAATACATTAGGAGTTAGAGTTGAAAACGCCTTAAACTTAGTCAAAAAATGCCATTTGAGGGGAGAGGGGGGGGAATGCAAACAGCTCCTGAATCACTCTATGGATGTTATGGGCAGCTTCCTCATGACAAATAGGGCTTGTGGGGACACGTGGCATGTAATTAGCATACGTAGGTTGGGAGTTAGAGAAAAAAATGCCTTAAACTTAGTTGAAAAAAAGCTGTGGGAGAGGTTTGTAAAAGCGAATCAAATCCATAGCTTTGTGACATATATATATATATATATATTGTGCCATGTGGTAGGTTGTATTATCCAAATGGGTAGAAAATTGATGAAACATAAATTCACAATGATGGCAACCCTAGGTGCTCTGTTTGGTTCTTGAGATTAGAAAGAAAGTGAAATTAAGTTGTTCTATAATATTTTCATCTAAATCTAACCAATCTCAGTTTTTCTTGCTTACAAACTAATAAAGACTGCCCATGAATCAACCATGTATGTCTCTCTAAACATATACAAATATATATATATATATATATATACGTGAATGAAATGAAATAATTATGAAGTTGTTGAAAGAAGACCCTAAACACTATTGTTACAATTAAGCTTTTGTGTTGGGGGTTATTGGAGTCAATCAATCAATATGCAAACATCTACCACACTGATTGCACTTGGAAGATTGGCAAATTAATGAAAAAATGATGAAACATAAAAGCTCAAAAGATGCAACCCTAGGTGCTCTGTTTGGTTATCGAGATAAAAATAAAGTGAAATTCAGTTATTACATAAATTTCGCCAACATTTTTCAGTTTTTCTTGCTTGCAACCTAAAGGCCCATGAATGAATGAATTCTTACATGTATGGATCTCGATAAACATATATACGAGTTATATTATTCTTCCATGAATGCAGCTCAGATTCTTCGTAGACAGTGTTACATTATCCTCAAATGTTATATGGAACTAATGGGTGTATATATATATTTTTAGATGGCTTTTGGCATGGATTCGTGGATATTCCAATTCACTTTTGTATAATCCCACTTTTTTGTTGTCCTCTGCTTTTTGTGTGGATTTGTATTACTTGTACAGAATACTTTTGGCGGGGTACATAATACTTTTGGCATCGAACAGACAATTATTGCCGTGATATATAGATTACCTTTTGTTGTGGTAAAGATTACCATGGTTATTTGTATCATGCCAAACGGCCATTTGGCATAGTAGTAAATATATTTTTGTGTACGGAAGACATGATTTTCGTATGATTATTTGTTTTGTACAGATATATAGACAATTGACATAATTGATTTCCCAAAAATGCATTAGCGATCGCAAACACAAGTAAGCTCTTGGAAAACACACGATATTTTATATTTCATAAAATATCGTAAGATTATGAAGCATGGATAATTCGACAAACATGTCGTACCCATACTGGATACTTGCCGACATATGGTATTTCTGCATACATACCGGGTACACAAACATGTATTGAAATTTTTTCTTTTTAGTTTTTGTCATACCTAAACATATCTAGTATATACCCAAACCATGTTATACCTCAGTCAAAACTTATTGAGGCGAAAATTTCTTGGGTACTATGTGTGTGTGTGCGCGCAATTGTAATTAGTATATTACCCTAATTAATTTCAATAGACTTGATTAACTAATAGTAATTTTAAAATTAAGTTGGAAAAAAATTTCATAATTTGGTAACTATCTAGTACAGGTATGACATGTTTGTCGGCATGCCCATGCTTCAGTCTGAAGATAATTCTAAATGAAATTTTTTATATTTTTTTGTAAAGTATATATTATTTAAAGTCATTTTTATAATTTGGTGGTGTTGGTGTAAGAGGCGGTACCCTTTATTCAATCAATTTGAATCCAATTATAATTGAGTTTGTAGGATAAAAGTCATTTCAATTATGACGAATTTCTCACACAAAATTATATAATTATTTAATGCTAATTGAATCTATAAATATTTATACACAAACATCAACATACACCATTATAACCTCACAATCGCTAAAATCATCACTAATATTGCTTCAACCATCATCACCATCATTGTTACTGTCAACACCACCACCACCACCATTACGAAGCCACCATTGCTATTACCGCCACCTTCATTATCATTGTAATCGTTATGATAAAACATACCATCATTTCAACTAGTGAAATTCCATTATCTTTAAATAGTGAAATTTAACCTTAATATTTAGGTGAAATTATCAAAAAAGTGAAATTTCTACTAAAGAAGTAAAAATTATAAAAATAAAGGCAAAGACACTAGCGAGTAAATGGAAAACTTATGAGTTAAAGAGAGATGTCACCAGTGGTTTCGTTGGAGCAATAAGTGATTGTCACTATATTTTTAATTAGCTAACGAAATATAATTTTCTTAATTAATTTCTTGTCTAATTAATTCTATAATGTGTGTAATTACAAATTTTTTATTATTGTTTAATTAAAACTTGATAGTAATAATTATTTCATTATCTTTAACTAGTGAAATTTCATTCTCTTCAAATAGTTGAAATTTAGCCTTAATGTTTAAGTGTAATATTTAACTATTAGCAAAGTGAAATTTCTTGTAAATGAGTAGAACTTATAAAATTAAATGCCAAAGACGGAATAACGAGTAAATTAGTATATTTATTGAAGGGTTTAATTGTATCATTTTATAGTTTAGGTAGTAAAGTAATACTTCGTGATAGTTTTAGAAAGGGAGAGGAAAAGTGAGACTTTATGTTAGTTTCAGTGGAGAGGAGTAACTTGATACCTCGTGATAGCTTTAGGAAGGTCAAATACCACAGGGGTTGTGGGACATTTTCGTATAGCGGAAGAGAGGCCTACAATGATGTAGAATTGCAAAAGAATTGCGAAATTCATTGAGAGAAAAGTATGCTTTGAACCCCTTGACAATTACCTCTACAAATTTTAATTTTTCTATCGACAAAATAGAGACAAAGAGACATAAAGGGAACGGTCAAAAAAATAAAGGCTTGTGATAGATCTAAATGAGTGTCAGTAGATCTAAAATCTTATTGCTACAACAATGGTGTTGGATTGTCATTAGACGGAGTTTGCATGGTGTTGGATTGTCATGAGACGGAGTTTGTATGGTGATGGACAATCGTTATGGATATTCAATTATTTAGTTATGACAATAAAAAATAACATATTTTTTTTTTTTAAAAAAAAAAAAAAATTGAAAAACTAATACCGTGTTTGATTTAGAATTGCAAAAGTCATTTTTGAATTTTCAATACATTTTTTTTCTTGTTTTAAGTGAATTTTATTAATATTTAAATTAAAATTTTAATTTTTAAATTCAGTTAATCTAGATATAATTAAAAAGTAAAATATTTATTAAAAAAATCTATAAATACAAAAATAAATAAATAAATAAATGATTTTTTTTTATATATTTTTATATTTGGTGTAATTTTAATTTTTTTAATAAAATTTATACTTTTAAATATATCTAAATTTTATACTTTTCCCCTCCCCCCCCAAACTGAGTCATAAAACTCTAATAAAATAAAAACTATAAACAATAAATAATAATTAAAAATATTAATTTAACAAGCATAACATATTTTTCACATCTACAAAAAACAAAAACAAATATTTTCACAAAATTTTACCTTAATTTGAAATTCCCTCTCAAAATTTAGGACCCTCAAAATCTGGCCTTTAATCCCTATACGTTTCTCATGTCTCTTTCTCTACCTCTCTCACACACAACTACTTCCTCTTATTCCTCCTCCCTCAGGGACGATTTTGTTGGTCCCATTGCACTGTTGTACCGCCTGAAATCCAAAGTCGACACCGCGGATTCATGAACTTGGACTATCTCATTCTGACCAGGTAAGTTGATTTCTCTTTCTCTTGCTAGATGTTATTCTTTGCCCTAATTTCTCACAAATCGACTCCCTCTCTTAGCAATCTCTATCTCACACACTTTCACCGCTCTATAATTACTACCGCAACATGCCACCATTGGCACCATTTGAATACAGCGGTATCCCCTCCGTCGCCACAGTCCCCACATTTGCACGACCTATCGCTACAGCCAGCCAATCCCACTGGTAAGCCCGCTTTCCATTGCTTTTGTTGTCCCTCTACATCTCTCTCTCTCTCTCTCAGCCACCATTTTTCGTTCTGGGTATATGTTAATTTCCAGATTTGGTAATTCTAGGAGTATTTTGTGTTGGTCCTTTGCATTTATGTTTCTTTGATCAATTGCAAATTCAGTTAAACACAATATATTTATGTTGGATGTACACATGAATTATTGGAAGAAAAAACCTAGTGTGAACTAAGAATTTGGTTCTTGTGTTGTAGTAGTCTATTTAATCAATTTACTGACTTGCACTGCTATAATGTGTGTAATTTCTTAGGTATGATTGGTTTTGTATATTATTTGAACATGAGGAAAAGGACTAACAAGGCACCTCACAACAGAAAAAAAATGTATGCAATTAGTCCAACAAAACAAGCATTAATCATCTTAAAACCTCTTGAGGTTAAGGGTAAAGGGGTACTAGTTCAAATCTGGTTTCAGGTTTTCAATTTTATTTATTATTATTTTTTGTTTTGGTTTGGTATGATGCTTCAAATTGAATCCTCCAATTGATTTAAAAGTTCATAGTTTGGGGAAGGTTTATAGTTTAATTTAGATAGAGTAGTTTAATTCACAATTAACAAATTCTTGGAATGGAAGTGTTTGGATTGATCAAAGTAACTTTGGTTGATAACATCATCATTCTTCATCTTACATCTCTACATGTAAAGGCATTGCATTTTGTTTTTCTCGTTTCTTTTTCTTTATTTTGTTTTCTTTAAAGGTTTCTACAATTAGAATTGTTTGCCATTTTGTGATTTTTGATTTACAGGTGTGGTGTAAGCACTTTGAGGCAGCAAGAAAAGGTGATTCCCGAGTGATCACAGCAATGGACACAGTTCACACCGCTAGCAAACGAAGAAAATAGAAAGGTCCAGAAGAAATGAAACAAAAAAGAAGGTTAAACTTGAAAGAGAGATGAAGGAAGGCCGCTACTCATTTATCTCACGGTCCTGGAAACATCAATGGGATGTATACTAGGGCGGCACGATGAGAAAGGAAAGAAGGAGCATGCCATCTATTTGATGAATGAGTTATAGCTATAAAAGGTAAATCCATAAGTTAATTATAGTTGCAGTTTTTTACGAACCAATAACTAAGTTTTGTCATAACAACTTTTATGGTATTGGTTTTTTGATTAATAAAAAAGGAGTTTGACTATAACTTTTGTTTTTATCTCTACTTTTGATTACTTGTAAATTGCTACAAATTTCAACAAGTGTTAAGGAATCTTTGGTCTTAACTTCGGTTAAGCATCTTCTTGGTCTTAACTTTGGGTTAAGAATCTTCTTGGCTTAACTACGGTTAAGCATCTTCTTGGTCTTAACTTCGGGTTAAGAATCTTCTTGGCTTAACTACGGTTAAGAATCTTCTTGGTCTTAACTTCGGGTTAAAAATCTTCTTGGGCTTAACTTCGATTAAGCATCATCTCGGCTTAACTTCGGTTAAGCATCATCTTCGGCTTAACTTCGGTTAAGCATCATCTCGGCTTAACTTCGGTTAAGCATCATATTGGTTTAACCAACTTGTAAATTATTACAAATTTCAACAAGTGGTAAACGTATTCTTCTTCTTTCTGTGGCCCCAGTGTGAACTTAAAATCCACTTGGGTTCTGATTATACATGTAGCTTCGACCTTGTCGTCGAGGTTGAATTCAAGCCGAGGTTGTCGGCCTTGGTTTCTCTATTGATCTTTTCTTGGTTCCTACCTGAGTTTGATTTTTGGCCTCGCATCGGCGAGCCGTTTCTCTTTTCTCGTTCCGACGCCTTGTTCCCGGCATGTCCTCCTCGGCCCTAGCATACTTCTCAATTCTGGCCAACTTTAGTCTGATCTTGTGTGTTTTCTTTTTATCTTCTGGGATCTGAGATCTGCTCATTGTGCTCTTCTATTCTCAGACTCAGGTGCCGAGATCTTATCTTCTGGAATCTTGGATCTGCTCACTCAGGTTGAACTTTTCTATACTTAAATGTCATCTTCTTGGGAGCGTTTATGCCCCCTATCTTTACGTCCCTTCTAGAAGGGTCTTCATTCCGTTTATGTCAACACATTCTCCATGACCGAAAAAGGGAACCAAAAAAATACACATTTGTCTTCCCCATACAACTAGTAACCATAATAAACAACCCACGTGAGAAGGTTGTTTCAAACACGTAAAAAAAAAAAATACTTATTTGTTTTGCCCATGCATCAATATGCTTAGCAGACCATAGCTAGGCCCTAGAAGAATAGTTGCATGACTAGCCCAACGTTTAGACCGAGTGTACATATCCCGTCCACGTCAAGGATAACGATCGGCTGTAAGCCGAAGAACTTCCAATCACCAAGCGCCAAATCACCATGGCCGACGCTGAAAACCAGTCAGAATAATAAGCCGGCGTGAATTCCGGCGAAAACGACCAGCGTACCTGAACCGATCGGATTACCTTCTTTATACTTTGTAACATCTCCTCCTTCTCGCTATCTTCACCGACATATCTACCGGAGCAATACTAACACCAGACCCAGACGCTGGTACAAACCCAGTATCAGTCAAAACCTCAGTCAAGAGATGACTAGAGACTAGATTGAACACCTTCTGCTTTGAGACCAGACAAAACACCATGAAACCGCTGTAAACCCAGGAACCAAAACAACCACCGGCAATTAATTTGGGAGACCTAGCGCCGGCAGAAAACACCGAAAAAAACATCCAAATTTCAATTCTGCTTTAGTGACCAGGTTACATAACACAGACTTCGCCATTCGCACCAAGGCCACCGAAAAAGAAAAAACCCCGACAAAGGGCATCCTTAACCCACGACGGTTTGACCATTAGGGGTGAACATGTGAAGCGCCAATAAGACAAACGAGGATGAACTCACATACTTACCAGCCCATGGCTTACCGCAACTGGAAGCTAACGTAATTGAAACAGAATACATTACCTGGGACCAAAACAGATCCAGTCAATGGAGCCATGAATAGCCGCCACAAAGAGTGACGACCCATGCACCCGAAACTAACCCACTGATGAAGGATGCAACCAGTGCTATTAATGGTGAACTTTCCGACCTTCCTAGATTTTTGAGCCTGTATCTTCGCTAAACTTGTCGTTTCCAAAACGTTGATCTCGTACGTGATGGCCATCTATTCTCCTTTCATTCCCACAGACGGCGCCAAATTGTGTGGGTGATTTTCCGACCACACTGCCCGCTTAGTAACCAGCTGGAGAGCACTGGCAGAATAGATGGCACCCGACTGACCTGCAACAGAAATATAAGCATCCCGCGGTGGTTTCGACCACCCAGGGGCACTCCGACGATCAAGTCAGTATATCTCTCAAAGATAAATCAAGTCCTAAACTCACAAGCTTGAGTATCAAAAAGCATACCTTAGACCCATGGGGGTGCCTCTCTTTTATAGCCAATACAATCCTAGTCCCAATAGGAGCCTGGCCCTAATGGACTTAGGATTACTGCTAATCTGGACTCCCAGTGGGATTAGGATAAACTCTCTAAGAGTCTTATCTTTACCCAAACTGAAGTCTTCTCCCAATCTAGGACTCTTGCCAATATCCAAATTGAGTTCCCTATTCATTCTAGGACTCTTGTCCCCTATTCGCTTATCTCGGATTCCGATATCATCGGAGGTAACCTCGGCCTAGCCGAGATGACCTCGGCACAACGACCAAAACACGTGGCACCTCAGCTGACACGTCGGCGTCACCTTGCCACGTGTTGGTACTCAGAAAATATATCCCCACAATTGTTTATGCTCTATTCTTACTGCTTGATCACAACCCATAAGCTTCAACTTGAGGACATAAATGCATTCTGCCCCCTAGGTTCTATTACCTTGGCATTCTGAGGTGATGGAACCTACACTGTTCGTTCATCTGTGCCCCTCTGTCCGAGATCAAACTCGCTGACCTCAAAGTTCCCTGTACTTTACTGTCCACTTTCGCCAAGTATTAAGCTTCATGCTTTCCAAGCTACTTGAAATCGCACCTCCTAGCCGAGACTCTAGTTCCATTAATTCGTAAACTCCAAGAGCTTTACAACTGTTCCACTCACACTCTCTGGTGAGTTCCCGATTTCCAGTCATCTATTTGACTCCGGTGATTTTCATATTGGCGTTCATTTCTCTTGGTAGGTTCGTAAACTCTTTACTTGCTATTAAGCTCAATCTTTCATAACTCTTCTGAATCTGTTTACTTGCCATCTGTTGCCTTCTATTTTCGTCTGTCTTCAAGTTTTGAATTGTTTGAATGCCTGGCAATGTTCTTGTCATATCCGCTTTCTGTTGCTAGCATCGTGTCTGGGTCATTACTTTCTTGTTCTTCACATACTTACTTAGTGCTTGTGCACTTGACTTTATTCTTGAACTTTGTCGTCTTCTCGACTATTTTTCTCTTTTTTCATTTAATCCTCTGGCTTCTTCTCTTTCTAGCTCTTTTGCTTAAATCCGTTATTTGTTCCAAGCTTTCAAGCTTCTGCAACTGTCTTCATTTCTCTCATCCGGTGAAGCTTTACGTCATTCTGTCATTGCAACTGTCTTCGTTTCTCTCCTCCGGTGAAGCTTTACGTCATTCTGCCATTGTCGTCAGACTTCGGTGATTCTCATTCTGGTTTCCCTCTTTCTGGTAAGCCACTGTTCCTCCTGGTTTTATTTCTTGTTGCTTTCCTAGAAGCTCTACTTCATTGTTAACCACCATTGTTGTTTTACTCGTTGTTTCCATATCATCTTCTTGAATACACACTGTTCACACATCTGTTGATTTCTGCCACTGTTCTTGGCTTTGACATACTTGTGCAATCTTTTTGTCTTGATTTCTTGATAGCTTCATCATCATTCTTGATTACTAATTACATTCTTGTTTCTGTTTTCTATGTCTTTTTCCAAATTCTTGCTTTCAATCTTTGCCTTCAAACTCCGAGGTGCCAATCGCCGAGAAGAGCCTTGATCAAACTCTTCAGGAGATTGATGCTGAGCTTTGTGGCTGAGAAGGCTGCTGAGAAGTTCTTTCTAACTGTCTTCTGGAGGTAAGACACAACCTGCCGCTGATGCCGAGTAGTTTGCTTCTTTCTTGAAATTGACGCCGAGGTAACGGTAGAGAAGCTCCTCCAACTGACTGCAGAGGCTGAACCATTGTCGTCCGTCGAAGTAGATTAGTCTGACGCTCTTGCTTTCAGTCCCTAGTTCTTTAAGGTCTTCATTTTTGTACTTGCCAACCTTCTCAGCTCTTAACAAGCTAGTTGGTCATCTCAGATGATCATATTTCGGAAACGCCTTTCAGTGTTATCTCGGCTATACCAAACTTGTAAATTTGCTTCAAATTTCAACAAGTGTTAACATTCCTTGCTCCTTAATTATCATTCATTCCCCATGTACCTTCTCCCTGCCCCCTAATGTGAACATAAGTTGCACTTAGGATCACTTTAGGGAAGTTGGCTTCGTACCGTAGTCACAGACCTGATGTGTTCTTCTTTCGTCGATGTATTAAACTTCTGGTATTTAATTCACCCCCTTTAGACCCTCTTTCTCTTGGCATTTGCAAACTATCATCGCTGTTTCTTGAAGCATTTATTCCTTTCACAATTCTGGTCACCACTTCTGGTGTGCACTTAGTGGTTCTATTCTAATCAAAACGACGTTTGACTCCGGCGAATCTTTTGCCGACATTTAACTTTGTGCACTTTTTAACTTGTAAATTCTCTCAGAATTTCAACAAGTGTAAAACATCATTGTGGTTTAACTTCGGTTAAACATCACCTCGGCTTAACTTTGGTTAAACATCACCTCAGTTTAACTTCGGTTAAACATCATCTCGGCTTAACTTCGGTTAAGCAGCATCTCTGTTTAACCTTAATGCTCAAAACATTAATTGCGTACCTTTTTGTGTTTTAGACAATGTAAGCTCTGCATATGGCCGATGTGCCTCCTTTTTCTTGGATGTCTAATTCGACTTTCCTTCTCTGAATGCTTGTGCCTTTGTGTTTTTTTGACTGCCATTGCATGATTCTGTACTTAGAATATTTTGCGTGTCTTTCATATTTGCCCCCT